AACTGTCGAAACATGGTAGTTCAACATACAGGACTCCATGGAAGGTGACCCACGGCGTCTGTAGATATAAACAGCTAATTCTAAGGTAACAAAAACATAACAATTCTTACATATACGTAGATTCCGGTTATTATATACTAATGAAAACATACCTATGAATATTATATTCCTTTTCTACTAATAGACCGTTAATGAAAAGTAACTTCACACTTTTTGAGGCTAAAAATCTTGGATTCAACATTTTCCTTTCTAAGGTTACATTGTTCTGTCGTCTTGTAGAATATGTAAAAGTCATCTTATCAAAATGTCCTTTCTCTTCTTTATTTGCATATTTGGTTTGAGGTAACCCAAAAGTAACATAAAGTAATGTTACTTTGATATTGTGATACCTAGATTAAGTTACTGACTATATTATAATATAATTTAATTGTATATGATCACATTTTTAGAGTAACCCTCACAACCCTTTCAGATATGATATCTCATTTTAGCCTGAATGGCATTAAACCAGTGGTCCTGATGTTTGTATGCTTGTTAGCATCACTATGGTGATGAGCTTCATTCCAGTCCAGGAGACAACTCAAGAAAACAACATAAGTGACTTTGACGCAATATGTGAGGCGCATTACAAATCTGGTTGGAGGTTATAGGTGAACTGCATCATAGGAGCATAGTCTCTGTCTGTGTCACACACCCACACAAACACACAGTATACAGTCAATATATTTTTATGCATGCAGACACAGAGATTGCAAATGTATTGCTTTACTTAAGTCCCCTAACACTAGATATGCATTTTACATGTTCAGTGATGCTGTAAAAGCAATCAACAACTCAAAAAGTGCCTCACCTATTTCACTTAGCTTTTTGTGCAGGCAGGTTTGATAACATTAGCTTTCCTAAATATGTGCACTGCAGCTAAGGACTGACAGTTGGTGTTTGAAAGGGCTTACTATGTGTAAAAGGTCACCTGTGCTGCTGACATGTCTGCACACATGCATTCACACACACACACACACACACACACACACACACACACACCTATACACTCCTACATTACACACACGCACACACACACACACACACACACACACACACACACACACACACACACACAAAACATACACACACAAACATACACACACACACACACACACACACACACACACACACACACACACACACAAACATACACACACACACACACACACACACACACACACACACTGTCACTGTAGGGCAGGTCAATGACAGTGTACTCTCCAAGCTGTCAGGGCTATTATGCGGTTCGCCCAGGACAAAACGGAAAGTTCCCTTGGGCTTCTGCCTTTGCAGATTGACTGGTACATAGTATTCCTTGCAAATACAGAAGAAAATACAGAGGCCAATTAAACATAAATAAACATTTCATCTTCCCTCCAGCACAAAATTCAAGGAAAAGCAAAAGCAAAAGCAACAGCAGAAGCAATCCATTGGATTCCAGTAAAGACATTTAGTGTCATCAGATTGAGCGTGTACAAAATATCTTTTTCAGTCTGATAGATATTTATATAGAGACATTTTATATGATACTTTTCTGAGAATCAAGCTGTGTTTCAGGGTCATAGCTCAGCTCAAGTTTTATCAGCCACAGTTCTCGACCAAAGAATATCAATGTCAGTCATTCCACTTTGAATATCAGATTGCAGATGAGGAACTGCAACATTTCTTCTCCACATTTTGATCCAAAACAGAAAATCAAGAGGCTTTGATAAGTCTTTATTAGACACTAATATTAATAAGAAATAATAATACAATAGTAATACATAAGAGAATGAGTAAACGTTGGAAAAATTATGATGATTTGCAGTTTGATTCCCATTCTACTGGCCTATAGAGTATAAGGAACACTTTCACAATTGGCTAATGCATTTCTGTCCGAAATATGATCATCGAAACCTGAATTTAAGTTAAATATCAATGAAATTCAATATTTTTCTATTCATGGATTCCTGCAAGATAGATTAATATGGAGTTCCACAAGGCTCCATTCTCGGACATTTTTATTTTTATTAATTCATCTTTTTGAAGATGACTATAATTTATAATAATTTAACTCCCCATCTAAAAAACGTATATCTAATAACAATCAATTGGTGAATTTTTCGGGTGCAGTCGACTAAATACCATTGACAGTATACTACATTGGGATACTAACAGATGGAAAATTTGTACAAGTATTGAGCTAGTTGGTAGGGAAGGACAAAGACAAACGGTTATTAATGTTACTTACTGTCTTGTATAATTTTTCATATTGTGGCATATACATTTCCAACCTCTCCTTATTGAATTTTATGTTGCAATACAGTCATCCACCAACATAAACAAACATTTCTACAGATAAATGTCTGAGGGTGTTTTGTGTTTCTCTTATCATACTACCCTAACCCTCAGTTGCCTACCATACACACGGAACTCACATTTATTTGTCTTTTTTGTCACTGTTTTTGTTTTTATTGATGTCTTTTCTTGATTCTTACAGTACAAGCCCAACTGGGTTTCTGTCTTCTTCTGCACAGCCATTATGTTTTGTATCTCTATGTTATGGTTTCTGTACAAATAAATAAACTATGAGCTTTATTTAAACTCCCCAAGGTAACACTATCATGATGCTGTAACCCAACAGGTTCTCTTGAGTTTATGTTTTATCATGTTTCTAAGATAAAACCAAGCCTGAGGTGAGGCAGGCATGCAGAACATGAATCCAGGACCGCAGTCAGCTCAGGACGGGCCCACGCACATCTCAATGTGTGGCTGGTAGCTGCAGAAATCTGGAGTCATGCTGGCGCTAAATATAGACAAAGGTTTTATGTAAGCTGAGGTGAATCATTCCATTCCACACATTTCAGCACATTTACTCACACACACGCTGAATAAGTGACATGGCATAGGTGAAGGAAACACAGGGATGCTTTAAAAATCCGCAATACTCATCACATGAAATAGATTTAGTAAACTGACAACACAGAATACACCCGCTGTCTGCCTGCTGAAAACACTTCCATTTGAATAGATGAGTGTGTGTGTTTCTCCAAGGCCTACCATGAGTAAGGTGATTGGAAAATGTAAATCAAAGCCCTAAAGTGATTGATAGGATATGTGTGGAAGGGTGGAAGGTTGTCCTTCACACAAGAAACCTCAGGAAGACCAACAGAGGAGTGGTCCGTCTTCCAGGGTCAACAGACATGCAATAGATGCTGTGTGTACAGAATAGACCAATGTAAAATTACAATCAGGATGACAAAATTATAGATAGATTGTAAACATAGTGGAGAGTCTCGAGCCTAAGTGGATGCAGAACAAACACAAACACATCTAGTACACCAACCACACAGCCCTGGATATTGATCTTGTCGGCCACAAAGTAATGAAGCGGGGAAGTGTTAAAATGAATTATTTCCAATTAAGAGTGCGGGAAGAGGGATGGGTAACAGCTGAGGAATGACTGAGATAGAGGGAGAATAAAAGAGACAACTAGGCAAAGAGAGAAAAAAGAGCATGGGTGAGACAGACAGAGATATAAGGAGTGGAGAATAGAAAAAGAGAAGAGGGGCTGGCTGAATTGTGGTCATCATGGCAACCAAATGTGCTCCTTCTCCTCCTCCAGAGAGAGAACCTTTGACACTGCAAGGTAGCTTCAGAGCGCTGATTACCTCACTCACACACACACACACACACACACACACACACACACACACACAATGCACCTGTATGTCTTGGAGATACCATGTCAGAGTGATAACATGCATAAAAGCCACACACACACACACACACACACACACACACACACACTCATGTTGTGCTACTGTTAATGACTTCTGACAAACAAAAGAAAAGGAAAGGTCAGCCTACATGATTCCATCAGCCTTTGTCTTGAAGGATCAGAGCTTGGGGACCTGTTCACTCTTTTCCTCACTTCCTCTTCTCTCCTCAAATCAGCCTCACACACATTGCCCTCTGTTACATCAGATTAGATTGGAATAATACTCACGAGTCTCTGACACACACACACACACACACACACACACACACACACACTACTGCAGAAATTTTCGGATTTTCATTTTCACCTTTGCCAGTTCATGCCTGTAGAACACATGCTGGACATTAAGAGATCAATTATAGAGCTGATAGAAGATATGATTTTTGTTTTGTGAAGATTTCACTTCACTATCTTCTTCACAGTCTTGAAGTGCAGAAGTGCACAAGTTTTGATCACAGAAAGTCTTTCAATTCCCTTAATGTACATCTACAGTATACCATTGCAAGACTGTCAAGAAGCTGATAAAATAGGTTTAATCAACATGGAATCATAAGTTCAGACCCCAGCTAATGGCAGGCAAAAATGGTCAGACAACTTCTGTATGGACACAAACAATTTTACAGATATCATACTTCATTTTTGTAACCAGTGTGTACACTGAAACATTTTCCCACAATCTTCCCATAAAGTGCATTAATATAGCGAAGGCGACATCTAGTGGCTAACATGGCTAACTGTGTTTTTTTTTCTTTTTATATTTGACTTGTGAGTGACACAAAACAGAAACAATTTACTGAACAAGAATGGGGAACTGCAGTTAAGCCTTGCTGAATCATTAAAGATTTTCAAGTAACTGTGTGAAAATTGGATTCATTGCTAGGATCCATGTCTTGTTCAGTAAGAACACCTTCTGTTAAAAAGAATTCATAGCAGACAAATATTAGCTCAGCCCTTATGTAGAAAAATATTCCACTCTGCCTTCAAAAGCTTCTTTAAAGCAATGAAGATTGTAGTTTAACTGTCGCAAAGAGGTGGTTGCAATATATTATTCTTATGGATAATGAGTAATCGTCACGTGGCAGTTCAGAGTCAGATGGTATGACTTATGGAGTGGGTGTTTCACACAAAATTTTCACTCACGCAGAACTTTTTGATAGATAATATGTTTGTGTGGCATTTTTAAGGAGTCACCAAAGGCCATGTTTATCATCGTTTTAATGCATGTTTAAAACAACAAGGCAAGCATTATACTCAGTTATAAATCTGGAATGTTTGGGAGGGAAACAAGAGAGCATGCAGCATTTCAAGGCACCTTAAAGAACACATTTTATGTGGTACTTTTCACACTGCAAACTACAAACTACAAAGCAAATAACATGGGCTTGGGATTTTTTTTTTTTTTTGGTGCTTTTCAGTCAATAGTCAATTTATTGTATACACTGTATTTTTCTGTGTGTCAGACTATTATGACATATATTGCATCTATGCATCTTTCTGTCAATGGTTGGTTGCCCCTGCACATGCTAACAAGCAAAATTCTTGCATAATACATTGTGTGATGCAATGCATGTAAGGCACTACTGATAGCACATGCATTCAAGAGCATAAAAGCTATGGCTAGTTGACTTTATGCTAGACAATGCTGAAAAAAAACAAAAACTGAATTTCAATCCGAATATTCCTGGGAAGGTGGAGGTTTATTTTATCTCAAAGCTTTTGATGCGAACATCCCCATCAAAGTTGATGAAGGAGTACTTCTCCTCACCCATGCGGTTGGGGAAATGGATTGTAGAGCCATCTGATAAGGTCACGAGGAACTCTGTAGGGGTGAATTCAATGGTGATCTTGATTGTAGGATGTGTGCAAGATGCAGGGAGAAAAAGGGGAAGAATATGCAGACAAGGTTACATATTGAACCTCTGCTCCATTCTTGGACAAAGTATTTAATGGTGAATATGTCAAACCAAACACCTCTTTCCAGTTCTATGTATTTTTTAACATGGTGATTTAATTAAAATTAGTACCATCATTAAAAACACCTTAAAATACATTATCTGAAATATGAAACATTCATATATATAGTTTTCACATATCTCTGCGAGTCCATAAATTGCTGCTCAAATCATGATGGTGAAGTTATCAGAGGTACAGTGACACACATCTTCCAACAGAGGTCACTAACAGACAGACAGAACCATGGGGCAGACTCCATGCCCGCAGACACACATGCAGGGATGGAATAAGTACACACACAGGACCTCTCACCTTGAATTCCTCGCCCTGTTGGAAAGGAAAGCCTCCCTCACGGTGCTCCTCACACCAGTTGCCTCCCTGGTAAGAGTTGCAGACCACCACATTCTCATCTCCATGGGCGTTAAAACGAGGGTTGATATGCATAGTAATCTCCTTCTCATCTGGGCCAACATTCACTGCAAAACTGCGGAACAATGTAACACAAAGATTTATTACACTATTAATGTAGCTCCTTATATTCAACATGGATAAGAGGATGCCAAGTGCACAAGCTATTGAGACAACCTTAACCAGTTTTCATCTGCTAACCATCATCTTCATCACCCCCACATTACTGAGGGGGAGTTAATGGGTAGTCCCTGACAGCAACTGATTATAGATAGATTATAGATTCAACCTCAATCTGTGTGTTAGTGTGTGTATAAAGAATGGTCCACATGTTGAGTTCAGTCTGCATTCCACAGGGAAAATGGAGTAAACACAGAAAGTAGCGAAAGAATAGGGATAATTGGAAGTACATGTTTCATCAGTTAGACTCTTGAAGCCTCAGCCACCTTCTGGGATGTAACTAAAGAAGAGAAACAAGACTGAAAAAGAATTTAACTTAATTTTCAAGAAAACCTTTTTGAGGAAACAAGGTCTTATGTTTTACCTTGCTAAATGATAAAATTTTCAGAAGAATACATTTTATTGGCCAAGCATGTGTACACACACAAGACATTTGACTCAATTCACTTGAGAACAAGAACAAGGAACAAATACAGGTAAATAATAGACAGAATGACTCTAAACAAGTATGTGGGAAATGGTGTATATAAATATATATATATACTGTATATGCAGTCAGTGTATGACAAGGTAATGCTACATGTGAATGGGAGACAAAAGTAACAACAACAGTAATCCAAATATTATTATAGTATTCTATATAACATGCATGAAAGATTGTTTGTGGAACCAGGTGTAAACTCCTGAACACTGAAAAGAACCAACAAGAGATTTTCAATTTTATTGTGATGAACTTATTTCAGATATGTAGATAGTGTTTTACATAAGTATTTACTTTGATGCATCCGGCTTGGCGACTCCAACAATGGTCATGGTCTGCCCAACCTTGAAGGACATGTTTTTTATGATCAAACCCTGTGCAGAAAAAGAGGGGAGGGGGAAGCAAGACAGTACGTTATTGTGTGGAAATAATACTGGATTTTACTAGAGCTCATTATTATTGCGGCTTCAGGCAAGAAACATCACCAGCAGTAGCCACAGCCAACTCTCCAATCCTCACTTCATCCTTAGAAATTACAAAACATGTGTTTTCAATTATACTCCCATTGGCAGACTGGTCAAAGATTCCAGCGCTTTCCTGCTCTACTGTTGCCATGGCCCTTTTCCTCCAGATTTTGGCAGAGGCTAAAATTTTTTGCCGTTGTTAAATTGAGTAATATTTTCCTAAGTGCAATACTGGTCCACAGTCCACAGTGGACAAAAAGGCTGAACACAGCAGAAATCCTCAACTTGGTTGGTGTACATGTGGCGGGGGAATACTGAGCTGTGCCATTTCCTGTTTGGAAATTACACTTGGGCAATCCATTATTTGAAAGTGAAACACAGATCACCACTGTTTAACATGTTGTCACTATGTCAAAGGATGTATGTGGGGTACTGTTAACTGTCACCAGGGCAACTAATACATAAATAGCAGCCCCTTAGAGAATTTGCATTTTTTTAATAATATAGTTAGACATTAGGTGATGAGATATTTGAGCGGACACAGTAGAAGCAGCCTGAATTACAAGCTCCCAGCACTTTGCAGTCATTTATATTCTTGCCAGAAACACAGTGACAAGTGAGCAGAGAATGATTTGATATTAATGTAGCTGTTTTAATGTCTTGTTTTTTGTAAATCATGTGTTTTATCATTCACACCTACATTTAGGAAAACATTCCTTATGTGCAAAAAGTTTAAGAATTTTGCAAATTTTATTTTTACTTGATAGCAAATTGCATTTCATCAATGTCTTTCAGGGGACAGGAGCAAGAATTTTAATGACCTGTGTGAGTTTTGTGTTCTGCAGCTGTTGAAATCCTTGCGAATATTATTATCGCAATAATCTGGAGTAAAACCAAATTATTGCATCTGGAAGATCAACCAAACCATGAAATGAAAGGGAAGGTAAAAGGAAAGAATGACATGGGGTACGAAATTCTTTCCATGTTAGAGTTACACTGTAAAGTGCGTGTATAACACGTAGCACTGGGGCTTGAGCTGTGTGGGGCTGGGCTGAGGTCACAGAAACAGAAAGAGCCATGGGACAGACTACATGCCTGAAGACTGCATGCCTGGGGCTGGGCCGAGGTTGGACCTCTCTGACTTGCAGACACTGCTGTCTAAGGGAATCCGCATACTGTGCTGGATAAGGGATACTAATGCATTACACCTCTCCCTGACTGACTGGCAAACACGATGTACATTTTAAACACATCTACCACAAACAAGGAAATTCTTTTAATGAATTATTTGACTCTAATATCTTGCTGGAATCTGATATGAATGCAAAATAGGCATTTTAGAGTGCAAGGGACATTCCCTGATAGAACGGCATCACAAAGAGCTTCCGCAATCTGCTGCTGAACGCTCTAAGAGTAGCATCTATGTTTACCTCCACATGATGACTTTATTTCATTTTCTCCTATAATGGGATTTAAACCTGCTGCCCCCCCTTGCTGTGCCCTTTCTAACCACGTTTCTCCCTGTAGCCAAGAAAAACCCAGAGTGATACAAGGTCTTTATTGTAATCTACTCGTTTATGAGTTCATAGAGACCAGAATGCATTGCTGGCTGTGCCCAGCTCTAGATAATGAGAGATGAATGAAATGGACAAATGTTACAGCAAGCCTTTCTGTTTTAGTATAAGTCAGTTATTTCAGGAAGAATGTAACAACCTAAACAGCTGACTTCTTGTTCATGCATTGGATGCCCATGTATGTGTGGTCTGTAGTGAATGTTTTGACCATAAAAGGCAATCAAAGAAATCTGAGAAGTCCAGAACACTCAGAAGCACATGTTACAAAAACACAGCTAAAGTGGTTTAGTTAAAGCATAGTTAAAGCTGGTTCAGTTTCATCTGCATGTCACACAGTAGAGTGAGCTGGCACATGTCAACCAGCTATCAGTTCCACTTTTAAAATATGACCTAACACTACTCGTCCATCTGAGTCATAACATACAGAGAGTAAAAGCAATGCAGGAGCAAAATATTATTGTCATATAAAATTGTACTTACATTAAACATGATTGCAGATGTAGTCAGTCAAGTAGAGCTGAGGAGAAGTGAGTATGCTGCAGGGCCCTGCCTTTCTGCACTGGCAAATTATATACTGTGTGGGAGGGTCCTTCTACTTGACAGACATTTCAAGCAACAAATACAATCAAGGCACTGGAGAACATCAACCAATGAAGTCAAAATGTATTTACTGACAATAACTAAATAAATTTAGTGCCTTACAAGCAATTGCAGACCTTAGTGAAGTGAGGATAGTTAGTGACAGGTTATTTGTTGACATCAGACTGTTAAATTGTGACCTGGTGGTGTTGAGTCTGACTGTGAGAGGGAGCACAAGCCAGAGTGCCAGACAAAAATAGCAATGTATTTGTTGCCAAGGAAACATCTAAATATTTGGCACAACCAACAGCCTTAATGCCCACTTACTGTATATAGCTTGTAACTTCCTGTGCGATCAAATGACAGCATGTGAGATCAGTCTGCTGGTCGACTAAGTAAACTTCAGTTTGGGGAGAAATGGGCCAAAGTGAAATGTTGAAACTGAGTCAGATCCCCAAAATGATCTGAACCTCTGACTCACAGCAGGACTCAACAGCAGTAGTAGGAAAGACTTTCATCTGCTGACACACGACTGACACAGCTGCTGTGACAATGAGGGAATAAGCCACTTACACTGCGGTGTAATACAAGCTATGTAATTCAAATTAAAGGAGGATAATATATTTCTTTGTTTTTCTACACTATTTTCCCTTTTGTATGGTGGGATGATGGTGGCCTGAGTAAATGGGGTTAGATCTCTCTTAGGATGTACATTCAAATCTATCTTGCAATCATTCTGTGCAAACAATAGCCTTTATATTTGTATGTGGAAAAGTTTTGTTACGTAGCAGTATCATACTCAGATGACATATGAATACAAATTTATCTGGATGAAACTTTGCTTTATGTGCCCACCTCACTACAAACTGACCAATTATTTTATTATGTCTTCATTATGGTTTTTATGTCATTTGTGCGAATTTGAATGCACCAAAGAGGCTTGGCTCCATTTGATGATGAAGAACATGAGTTGAATCTGGAAGGAAGTGTTTATAATCGTGTCTGCTGCACTGATGAGCTGTAAGTCTGCTGATTACTAACACCACATCTGCTTTTCACTGACAGACAAGCACAGACTTACAATTACACACTGGTTTGCAAGTGCAAAACCGTGGAACTTAGTTCAGCTGTTCTTTTTCAGTGTTCGCCATCACACAGTGTGTGGTTTGTTCTTATCTCGAACCAGCTGGCTTCTATCAGTGACCCAAGGAATTGACAGTGTCCAGGCCAGCTTAAATTTAATTGACCTCATCTTCCACAAACAAAGAGGTATGATGATGATGATGATGTATCTGAGAAGCTATATTATTATGGGTTGTCAACAGGAGACGTGGTTCTTGCATCAGAAGTATGTGGCACAAAGATCTAATATATTTCCTCCTGCCCCAAGACCCAGTCTTAAGACAGTCAGCAGATCTAATGACACAGAGACTTCTCACATAAATAGAGGAAGAACACACACACACACACACACACACACACACAAATACATAATTTATACAGATTTTTATTATTATCATTCAATATATCAATAAGAGAATTCATTAAAGTCATACTGTGCTAATGCATGCCCTGCAACAAATACTACCTTTGTGAAGGTTGCTGACTCTGGCTATATACTTGGCAGTACACAGAAGCAAGACTTCTGTGTAGTCTTCTGTCTCTTTTGATTGTTTTATATGAGAGTTCAGACTGGAGTCAGTATCAGTGTGGTATTATTCTGTCGCCTTTAAGGCTAGTTGACAGTTGACCTGACTGTATTTAGAAACATGAGTGTTCACTGCCATCCAGTGGTCAAAGTGAGAAACTACAACAATACAATGATTCAATGGCTGAGTATTGTGTAATTGTGTAAGTCCCTCTCCACTCAAAAATATGTTTTTCTTCTTACAGTTCGTTGTTTGAGCTTCACTGTGCAGAATGATGTAAGTGCAGAGTTGACTGTCAAACAGGGCTTCCCAGAGTGGTCCAACATGAGGTTCAATTCGCCCATCAGATGTTTATAACAAAAAAAAAAGTTACGTTTAAAAGTTACTGTTTATGCTATTTTTTTAAAAGAAAAAATAGGTTAATGCTCTTTAAACTATGAATGACTTTTGATGATCAACTTTTGGTAAGTCAACTAAGGGAACTTGGGATCCTATTTTGCATCCAAACAATACAATACAATACGTGTTTGCTTTTGGCCCGTGGCCCACCATTAAGTTTCATTACGTTTTTGGCCCTCCAAGGGAAAAAGTTTGGACACCCAAGTGGAAAGTTTCTCTGTGATCAATGAAAATCAGATTTTAAGGGGCGGGGCCTTCAAGAAGGAATTGTGACATTACAAATAGTTTGGAAGTCAATCCCGGTCCAGTATATAACTTGCACACAACATGCATCATGCTGTAGTGCACATACACTGAGAATGGACTTTAGAGTGAAGTAGAAGACATCTTGTGTATCCAGCAGGAAAACTTTTAATTTTAAATTAACCAAATTTGCATCTTTAATGAATTATCAGCTTTTTAAGGATTTTAATGTGTAAATTATACTTTTTTTTTTAATTATACACAAACAGACTATTGTTATATGTTGCAATACAAGTCTGGATCTTTGAAATAAATTCAGATAACAAATCCTTGATTCAAAGGTCATGTTTCTCAAGTTCTCAGACTTCACTCAGAGGAAGGCTGAACAACCTTTGTTGTAATCTTTAAACATGATGCTTACATTTGAAAAATAACACATTTTAAGGCACAATCTGAACCTGAATCTTAAAAATGACTGAACCTCTCTACTGTACTTGGAACAAAGTCACCTAACTGTGTGAAAGACACTTATAGGGTTGAGCTGTATTCAACTGTGTGAGAGCTGCCAGGGAGGTGTTCCCACAAGAAAGTCGAGGACTTTGTAATGAACAAGAGACAGTTAATACACAGTGGTTTTTGCGGTGGTGATGAGGATACATCTCAGATTAAATTAAAAATATGACTGCATTTCCTGTCCTCAGCAGATAATTTTAGTTTATATTCTTTCTTCATTTGCGGTAAACAGCTGGTCTGAAGAGGGAAGGGTTGTGCTCACAGGTAATGGTGAAGGAGTGAAATGTTCAGGCTTGTACTTTATTAGCACAAGAAAAAAAAAAATCAACAATCATTAATGATTCATAATATAGTTGTTAATCATTAGTGTTAATTGGATTATGTTTGTATAACATGCTTAGTTTATCTCAGTCATCACAAGTTAAACAGCATTTCCCATTGTTAACAGAAAGAAATCAGCATTTTGCTTCAATCTGTACCAATCTTGATGATGAAGGACAGGATGAAATATAGCCATAACTATGAAGTAAATAATTTGAAGATGCCTATTCTGTCACTAATTTTTATAAAAGCATTACTTGCTTTAGTCACCAACTTTGGTCAAACCATTTTGCTATAATTAACTACACTATCACTAAAACTTTAAATATTTCCTAAGAAACCTGGCTGCCTGGTTTGTCAATACACTTCAACAAGGAGACAGATTAAGATTTGTTTTATAGGAACGGTGAAACACAACCTATATTTCAATTATGATAGAAAACTTTGTTAATAATACATTGCCCAAAACAACATTGCATTACATCAGCAGAAGTGCAGGAGCATTACACTGTGGTTACACCATCACACAAACAATACAACGCCAGCTGCCCGATGAAGGACTGGTCCACCTTGTAATCATATGAACGACCCCCTCGCTGGCATTGGTCCACTGCTAACATATTCACAGTGACTTAAACACAATTGGTGAACAGGACGTAAAGAGGGCGTACCTATGCTCATTCATATTGATGAAATGGTGGCAGTTTTATCTTTAAATGGCTTGAGTGCACACAGACGGTGTGTATGTACATGTAGGATGTTACTGTAATGTCAGCTACAGTGAGGTTATACACTTAAGGCCGTATCTGTAAGCGGGACAGCTAACTGACGTTAACGTGAAGAGCTCCGCGGTGTGCTGGTTTGGTGTGTGTGTCTAGTGTGTGCGTGTGTGTGTGTGTGTGTTTGGTTGCCAGCTTGAACATTTGTTACTGCAAGGCTGGCATAGAAATGGCATCAATAGCAGCGGCGCATGAGCCAGGTATAAGCCCGGGCTCCATACCGCTGGCGGACGCTTTAGTCCCCGCGAGTATATTTGCTCCAGACCGGGGAGGATGCGGGGACGACGCCGCGGACGAGTGCTTCGACGACGGGGACATGATGAATGGCGAGCCCGAGGACCGTGGGGCTGACTTCACCAACAAGGTAAAGCTAGGCCCTGGATATTAAGGCGCTGTCAAGCTAACACTTGCTAACGTTTGCCACTATTAGGGATGAATGAATGAAACAAATGCTGTGTGTATTGTATGTAACTATGTAATTACAAAACACTGAACGCTGGTCCGTACTGCAGCCACTGAGTACCTTTATAGTTAGTACCAGATAGTATACGCGACTGACTTTCTGGACCCAGGGGGATTGCTTTTGCTGACGTTAAATAAAAGAGCTAGCTGTGGCTAACGCTAGCTCCACTGCTGATGCTTTAGCGCGTAACCTAACCTAACGTTAACATTAGTCGCCTATCAGTCGAAGCACATTGCACCATATGCTACCGCAGCCTGGCTCTTGTTGGCCGTATCAGATGATACAGCGACAGCCAGAAGGAAGGAAGCGCAACACCAACGACCCTGTTGTCAAACAAAACACAACACTGACATGATGTGTTGAGTTAAACCCAAAACAACAACACACACAGGCTGATGAAATACAGGGAAACAAAGTAGGTAAAGAAAACAACATAAGGGCTGTAGACATATATACTTTTTTGATTTGCTAGAAGTAGCTATTGAGTATAGACACTTGTCGAATGAGAAAGAGTTTTACAATGATGTCACCTTGCATGAGAGTGACAGCAATCAGGTTTGGGTCCAGAAGGGTCAAATTACACACTACAATGGTATTACATTCCCCATAGATTGCACAGAGTTGCATCAGGGAGGCGGTCCCTTGGTCACCTTTGGCTCCTGTCAATTTCATATGTCTGTCAGCTTCTGATAAGCTGTGTAATATACTTTGATTTACCTCTGTAGATATTATACCCTGTGCGCCTTTTGGCACAATGATACTGAACCGTGATATGCTTCTGTAGCACCACCAATTTGTTTCCAGGTGCATATGTTTTAGCATAACACTGTCGTAACCAGGGTTTCCAGGGACATCCCTGTACCGTTTGGCTTAATAGTGAAACAAAAAAGTCATATTATACACCTTTTCCAGGTAAAGTAAATAGTTTTCTTAATTGTAGCTTTAATCTAATGTCATAGAGGTGACAGGTATTTGCAGGTAATACTGCTTAAACGGTTTTAATTTGTAACACATGGTAAAACCACCATAACATTTCTCACATTTCTCTACATTGTCTACAGAATTAAACGCAGAGGGCAATGCTTTCGGTCGTATTTTACTTGTTACTACTAGGGATTCGCTAATATATCAGCCTACCACCAAATAATACGGTATTCATGACATCAGTGGCTGATGTTTATCTGTTGTGTCACATCTATTTTGCACTGGCTAAATGTTGTGGTGGTTATTTCTAACTTGGATACTGGAGAAATAATCACATCCGTTTTCCAGCACTGGCACAAATTACACACAAACACAGATGTGCCCCATGCAGCAGCATGGACAGTGAGCAGCTGTTCAGCTCTGCATCTTACATCTTGGAAGAGAAGAGAAACAGACCAAGCTGCAACGAGGCAGAGATGCTTATCTTTGGAGATTTCTTAATTTCCCTGGCACAGAAGGACAAATTAATAAATACATTGGTGTAAGACATCGGCCAAATTGTTATTTTATATAGAAAGATCGCAATTTATGCATCCCTAGTTACTAACTAAATCTTAGTCAACAGTATGAAGCACTTTTACTGTGGTACTGGCATAATGGAGCTTTTTAGGTAATCTATATCAACAGCCATAATAGTGTTGTGCTCACATGTAACCTTGATGTGTTTCATGGGAAAAGACACAGCTGCATTTGTGTGTAGAGAGCAGCCTTTGAACCTGCTATTGCCTGTAGGTTTACTTTCTACTGTGGCCCACATTTTGAATACAAGAGTTGTCTTAACTAAATGAAAAATGTACTCTGAAGTCTTTAAAGCAACCACAGTTGGCGCAATCACCACCAACATTGGAACGGTTAATGGTTCACTGATTGGATAAAGGATTTGCTTTGATTATGCATCTATTATGTAACAATCATTCAGTAATGGTCATAACTCCAACAATAACCAATTTATTTGTTTCCTTTTTCACCCCCACCTTTACAAACCCAATAGCTGGCACTTGTGAGCCCAAATGGAGAGCAGTATGACTCGTTACTTCGCCAGCTACGGGACAGGATGGAAGAGGGATGTGGAGAGACCATCTATGTGGTTGGCATGGGCTCAGGTAAGAAAAACACAAACCGCTCACATGCTGTGATTACTTAAACTATTGATTATTTCTATTATCTTGAGCTGTTTTGGACAATTGCTCCCATTTCTCCAATTTTTTTTTGTCAATCTGTGCCAAAGTAAACCCCGGACAAATCAGCATGTCCACCTTTTGTTCTTCTCTCTCCATTTTTCTGTTGTAGATGGTGGTGACTGGGGTCTGGATGAAAAGGATATGGATGCCTCAGTAGCCACGGTGCACTCCATGTGTGAGCAAGTGGACGCTGACCTTATTCCGCTCCGGGAGCGCAATGAGGCTGCCGGTTTGGTACGTGACTATCTGATCCGCCGGCGTGTGGGTGAGCTAGACTTCCTGGAGGTCAGGTGAGTGATCAGAGATATGAATAAAAAGGGGTCACGGGTATGATTCAGCATTAGATCTCACTCACAATACTTACAGCTTTACTTATTGTTCCTTTCTTTTTCACTACATTGGTGTTTTCTTCAAAGAGACATGAGAAAGTTTTGCTTTCCTTGCACAGCTTTGGTGATATTTTGGTACCCCTCTATCCCTCAGGGTTGCAGTGGTGGGCAACGTAGATGCCGGTAAAAGTACTCTGCTGGGAGTGTTAACGCACGGAGAGCTGGACAATGGCAGGGGCTTTGCCCGCCAGAAGCTCTTCAGACACAAACACGAGATGGAGAGTGGCAGGACCAGCAGTGTGGGCAATGATATCCTGGGCTTTGACCAGGAGGGACAGGTGAGGGGTAGAGAGGAGGCGGAGCAGAGAAGTCTACTGGCTGTCATGCTTCTGAGAGAGTAGATGTTATTAAAGCATTAGATTTGTTTATATGATGAGGTGTTCAATAATAATTGACATTCTGAATGAAATACTAACAGTAACTAATGAAGTGAAGCAGGTTTATCTGTACAAGAGGTGAAGGAGCAGAGGTAATGGGACTGAAGAGGATGGAATCCAGAAAAAGTAAAGTAGTGAATGTAGCATGATCCAAGTGCACCAGCTAAAGTAGCACATAAAAACACCATTATAAATTGGAGTTTAGGTGCTCTTGCTCAGGGGCTATTGACCAGTACTGGATACTTGTTATTTAGCCAACAAACTTCTGTAGTACTTGGCAGCCTCCCTCAGAAACTGGCAACAACCATGGGAGAGATGGGAAACAACAACTTGCTTACAATTTGTAAAGCAGCACATAGAGGTAGTGAGGGTATGGAGGCTGTGGTTATATCTCCACCCCTCTCTGTCTGTCCCTAGGTGGTGAACAAACCAGATAGTCACGGAGGAAGCCTGGACTGGACCAAAATCTGTGAGAAGTCCTCCAAGGTCATTACTTTCATCGACCTGGCTGGCCATGAGAAATATCTCAAGACAACTGTATTTGGGATGACTGGACACCTACCAGACTTCTGCATGCTCATGGTCAGGAAGGAGGAGTCTTTTTTTTTGTGTGTATTTGTGTGTGGGTGTGTGTGGGCAATATGAAATTGGCATTATGCCAGTAAATACAATGAATGGGTGCCATATTAAAAAAACAACTATGAAAATGTCTACATGTATTGTTTTTATCTATATCTATTCATATGTGCATCTATAAATATGTGAAACATTTAAACTTTGGATTAAACTCTTATCTGTTGTATAACTTAACCAAACGTCTACAGCATCCACAATGTAAAAAAACAAACAAAATTTCTCACTGTTTCTTTAAAATGAAATTAAGTTAAATTAAATTATCTACACTTTTTATTCTCTGCCTCACCAGGTGGGCAGTAATGCAGGTATTGTAGGGATGACCAAAGAGCACCTGGGCCTGGCCTTAGCCCTGAATGTGCCTGTGTTTGTAGTGGTAACCAAGATAGACATGTGTCCAGCCAACATCCTGCAAGGTCAGTCCTCTGGAGTCCCTTCTACAACTCCCTGAATTATATTTCTCTCTTAAATGTGAAAACAATCTAACGAATATCTATCGAATAAGAAAAGTTATTATGCATAAAGGCTTCCTTTGTTAATGTGTTGTTATTTTGTGTTGCACCACATGTTGATGTTCTGTAAGTCTTGTGTATTTCCTTTGCTCATGACAGAGACACTGAAGCTGCTCCAGAGGTTACTGAAGTCGCCCGGCTGTAGGAAGATCCCTGTCCTGGTGCAGAACAAGGACGACGTCATAGTCACGGCTTCAAACTTCAGTTCGGAGAGGTACTAACAGTGCTTATTGTCTTGGGGACAAAACAAATAGCACCAGGGACACAGAAATACAGTGTCTGGGACAGACGGACAGAGAAATTTGGGGATTAGCGCCAAATCTAAGGATTTATTCAGTTCATCAGGGAAAAGGCGAGAAATATATAAGATTATTCCCATGCGTGCTGCTCAGAGTGATCTCAGTCCACGGCTCTTCTGCTAATAGCACGAGGGTCTCTCCCTCTCCTCTTGAGCCGAGCACAGGCACTCAGTAGGTGTGGCTTGTAGGGCATGTTTTGAGCTTCTCTCCCACTATTAATCTCTGGATTACTATGTTCATTTAGCTTTTATGTAAATAGTTCATTTGAGTTTGTAAATATTTAGATAGTTTATTTGATCTGCTTCCTCATCTGTAGATTTTTCTTTTACTCCCCTGTAGTGAGTTTGTGTTAATTTGGCTAAATAATTACAGTGTGTGTGTATGTAAATTGTCAGTGCTGTATACCAATCAGGTATAACAGGTTTGAATTTCCACTGCGGTTTCCCCTGATGCATTTATTGATCTAACAGTTAGAAATAAACAAGAAACAGTAACTCAACCAGTGGATCAAAAAATAATGAAAACTGATTGTGGCCAAACACATACACGATTTAAAAAAAACAAAAAACTTTATTCATATATAAGTGCAGGGAACAGAGTGAGTCAATTAAGTGATCTGAGTCACTGAAACAAAGTTATTGAACTATATTCATTATGTAGAATGAAAAAAAAGAATTTAATTTGGGACAATGGTTGTTAAGTCTGAGAGAGAAAAGAACTAGATCTAGATTACTAAATCTGTCCTAGCCTGACTCAGACTGTGAATGAAAATGCTACTTTGCAAACCGCTGCGTGTGTGTTGTGTCCCCGCAGGATGTGTCCCATCTTTCAGATCTCCAATGTGACTGGAGAGAACATGGACCTGCTCAAGATGTTCCTCAACCTGCTTTCCTCCAGGACCTCCTACCGAGACGACCAGCCCGCTGAGTTTCAGATAGATGACACCTACTCTGTACCGGTACTCTAACCAATGACAAACTCTTACCACTAAATGCATTTTACTGTGGATTTCTTAAAAAGGTCCACTGTGTAACATTTAAGAGAATCTAGTGGAAGTGGAATATAATATTCATAGGTATGTTTTCATTAGTGTATAATCCCCTGAAAATGAGAACTGCTGTGTTTTTGTTACCTTAGAATGAGCTGTTTTTACCTGTAGAAGGAGCAGGTCTTCTTCTATGGAGTCCTCCATGTTGAATCGCCATTTTTCATTGTTTCACAGCCACTGTAGTTTCTACGACATGTTTGGAAGACGAGTGGTATTCAGTTTGTAGTAATTTCTGTATTCGGTTGTAATGTACAACTTCACTGCAAGATAGCCCTAAATCTTACACAATGGTCTTTTAAGTGAGGAATATCACGCTACAGGTACAAACCTCACACAGCATACAGAACAGATCCCACCAAGTGCTATCTAAACCACCGGATGTGTTGTGTTTATGTCTCAGGGAGTGGGAACAGTAGTATCAGGAACTACTTTACGTGGACTCATACGTCTGAATGACACAATGCTACTAGGGCCGGATCCCTTGGGCAGCTTCATCCCCATTGCTGTCAAATCGATCCACCGCAAGAGAATGCCTGTGAAGGAGGTCAGAGGTGGCCAGACTGCCTCATTTGCTCTCAAAAAGGTAGGAAGAGAACAGAATCTAGGGGGAAACTTTGGGACTGCATAATTGTTTTGTGCGTTATGATTAAATAATGAATTAACTGTCTCAAATATAGTGCTGGACGGTATGGTAAATCATTTATGACAGTATTTTTTAAGATTCTTACGATATTTCACAGAATGACTGGGCTTATATAGTGGCTTTCTACTGTCAGTAGTACATAGAATATATAAAAACATTTTAATGCAGTTGTGTTTGCAGAATGTGAACGATTTTTATTGTGCAACCGGTAACGTAGTAAAAACAAAACCTTAAAATTAAAAAAAGTATACCAAAAATTTTAATGTAAATATATTTGTATAAATAGTTGTATAAACACTATAAACTAACATACACGAAATTAACACCAGTATAATGGTCCATCCGTTTTATTGCCCAACACTATTTTCCCTTGTTTCCTATACCTTTTTTCACTCTCCACTGATCTGATACATGTGTCCGTCCTATCACGACTCTCTGTAGATCAAGCGTTCGTCCATAAGGAAAGGCATGGTGATGGTTTCCCCAAGGCTGTGCCCACAGGCCACATGGGAGTTTGAGGCAGAGATCCTGGTACTGCACCATCCCACTACGATATCCCCCAGATACCAGGCCATGGGTAGGTAACAATGACATAGAAAGGTGTCAGGGAGTTGGGGGTGGAAAAAGTACATTTTCTGTGCCTTTATATTATTGATTGAACATTTGACTGCCTTGAAGATTTGTGGCCAACTCTCTAAATAATATTTAATATTTCCTAATTGTTGCTTGGTTCAAATGATTAGAGGTTTCTCAAATAACAGACAATTTGTACAAGATCATTTTCTCAAGAGTTGTACCCTCATGGAGTTTGATAGAAGTACAGGACACTGACCAACGGTGCTCTCAATGGTCAAATTCATTTTTCCCCAGTCTTTCTTTTGCTCTATCCAATCACCTTTCTGTCCTCACCCACCACTCAGTCCACTGTGGCAGCATAAGGCAGACGGCCACCATCTTGTCTATGAACCGGGACTGCTTACGGACAGGGGACAAGGCTTCAGTCCACTTCCGCTTCATCAAGACCCCTGAGTACCTGCACTGCGACCAGAGGCTGGTGTTCAGGGAGGGACGCACCAAGGCTGTGGGCACCATCACCAAGGTAACAGAGCCTTCTGTAAGATCAAGGACTGTTTGAGTGGTGGGGGGCACAGTACTGACCAAATTAAAGTTCAAAGACACGTACTTTTGCTTTACAATGTTCCAGTGTCTAAAGCCTTAATTAAATGGAATGATTCATTTCATTTACAAGGCATAAGCCAAGCAAGGACACGGCTGGTAGAATCATAGTTGGTCCATGATTACCCCCCACCGCCGCAGCCTGAACACACTAGCCCCATTCAAAATCCGGCATCTGATATGGTCTGAATCAGCACTAAATGTTACACACTTGCCTTTTAAGATCGGTTAAGGACCAGAAGAAAAAAAAACATCATTACCTTGGTCAAACGCAAAATGTTTGTAGAAATTATTGACCATAAATAGTCATTATAGGGCAATCCTTGGTATTAATTAGTCTACATAGTCCCCTGTGAACATCCTATTCAGAAAGGGATCAGGCTGAGATATGCAATTTGCTGTTGTAATGAGCTTTTTAATTGAGCATAAATCTGTTTTTTTAAATCTCACTGAGGCTAAATTATTGACTCACATTCCTTCCAGCTGTTGCAATCCACCAATAATTTGCCGTCAAATTCCAAACCTCCACAAATCAAAATGCAGCCTACAAAGAAGGCACCACTCCGAAAAGAGGACGGCACCATGGCAGCCGGTGATGATGTAGCAACGATAGCACAATCAGCAGGCCCGAACGCGACACAACCGGTAAGCCAATAAAAATGTGCTGTTTAGTCTGGTTGTTTCTTTGGTTTTTCCTGCCTTTTACTGTGTACTTGCCTTAACATTGCCACTCTTTTCTAATGTATTAACTTCTGTGTCCTCCCTTTTTCTTTCCTTTGCTCCCCACACACATCCTGCTTTGGTCTTTTTCATCCTAAACTTTAACTGTGTCACGTCACAACACTGCTTCTCACACTCTCCCTCTCCTTTGATTGCGTGGCTGGCTTCCTAAGGGAGAGGGAGATGAAGACCCTCAGATAAAGGAGGGCAACAAAGAGAACAAGGTAAAGGGTTAGAGATTGTGTTTTGCTTAGCAAGATAGCCTGGCAGTCTGGTTTCTTGATACATTTAGTCAATGTTTTTTGGTCATGCTCTTTTTGTCTTAATAGCTGCTTGGAATATGAAATACTCCAAATGCAAGTTTATCAAGTGTTTTTGTTCCCTCCCCTTTGCAGCCAAAGTCTGGAGGAGGTGGAAGGCGAAGGGGTGGCCAGAGGCACAAAGGAAAAAGCCAGAACAACAGCACCAACTCCCCAACAGCTCCCACCTCATCGGGAATAGGAGGCTGCTGAACTACCCTCTCTTGTCCCCTGTAAACCTCCCTCTCTGCTATCACTCCACCAAGTGTCTTCATTCCACAAACCATGAAGGATACAGATGTTTGGAGTAAGACACTCCTCACTCTTATTACGCCTTGCCTTTTTACACCAGGGCTTACAGTTGTTTTTTTAAAAAGGGAACACAAAGGGGTATGTCCCACACCAAAGGGCATACACCCGTAATGCATTTTAATGTCTCTGCCTTTACCACTTGGATTGGTTTGTGTGATGGTAAGCAGTGTGGTTTCTGAGGTTAGCCTCACTCAGGTTGATGATTTAATTTTATCCATAATTTATGTGTCTATGAAATCTACAGTTCAGTCCTCTGGCTTAATGTCAGTTGGAGGGAGGGAGGCTAAACCCAAAACAAGGGTCCAGTACCAATATGAGCAGCTATAAATGAAACTCCCCCATGCATTCCCTGTGTATTTGCAATGAAAAACATTAATTGTACTATTTATACTGCATATGTAAATTAGCTGTTAGTTGTGCTCTGATTGGAAAGATGCCATTATTGTACAAAATGTATGCAAATCATAAATGAATGTAGCAGAGGGCACGTAGTGATTTCAAATTCTAGATATATGGAAAATATGAGCTGTTGCAATTTATAATTGTCAGTTATTTATTTGGCATACATGCAGAACGTTCACTCTTGGATGGTCTTAGATCTTTCAACCTACTATCACTTGCACTCTTAGATTCAGTAGTATCTACCATGCTTCCACTGTCAGTCAGCCATTTTCCAAACCTTATACCAATAGTGTTAGTACAGACAAATACAGCACATTATCTTGTCACTCCAACAGTTGCTCTTGATTATAAGACATGCAGTACTTGTGGTGCTACTTGTAACTCTAGTACCCCATGCGTTATGGCCTGTTGCTGTTAACATGTTGTGACATTTTAAACACACTTTGCCGCTAAAGAACTGACCATTAATAAACAAGCTTTACTGAACAGTAACAGTACTTTTCAACAGTACTTGTCTTTCTAAATGTCAATTTGTCTCATATTTCCTCATTACATATTAAAAATCTTAACACTGTGTAATTCTTTACTGTGGAAAAATATTTGGATGAGTTCTCAGTATGTTTATTATTTTCTTTTCCTTCAATATACTATTTGCTGTGTAGTCTCAGTTTCTGTCTGTTCCACATGTTACAGTTGGAAAGTGGCAACTATTGGCTGGCTTGAGTAGACACCAGACAGCAGAATATTCTTCTGCATTTCAATTGTATATTATTGACAATATAATGTTATTTACACAGGCTACAATAGCTACGATTACGTAAAATCACAAAATTAATTGATTATGTTTTCTGCACATGGGAAAGTTACAGTTAACAATACAAGTCCAAATAATTCTCAAGAGTTTCAGAACATGACACCCACCGGCATGATCTAATTAGCTTGGCAGGAATAACAACCAAAACAACAAAACCTTTGCTATCTGCAAAGTTTTCAAAAACTACCCTGTTAAAACTGTAACAAGTGTACATAAACTTGAGTTGTAAAAAAAAAAAGAAAAAAAAAAATCTGTGCACCACAAAATACTCAAAGTAATTCAGTTTTGTCAACATATGAACCTTCAGTCTCCACATACAGGTCACCGTTAGGAAAAATGAACAGTTATAACAGACTAAATAAACGGAAAATTCCCTATTTTCTAATGTATGTGCAGCTTTAAGTCAAAACTAAAGGGCAGATTGGAACTCAGCATGACAACTAAGAAGGATACAGTCCTATGCTGAATTGCTCTAACTTGCAAGGGCACATTTATTCACAAGCAACAGTTGTGTTTACTTCATATACAAAAAAAACATTACAAATTATATTTAACATTTATTTACTGTAGATTCTAACACAAAAGTATTTATCTGCTTCATTTTACAATATGTCATACAAGTGCAGACTGTTCACTACCACTATTAGGGTAGCACACATACCCATAGTCTTGTATTACAATTTGAAAAGGCTTTACTCGGTATAATAATATAATGAAATATTTTGTGGAGTTCATGATCTTGAGGTAAGTAGCAGTCCTCTCAAAAATAATTTGTAACTTTATAGCTCCATATTTAGGAATGTTCTGTTTTGGTCTAAATATTTGGAAATATACAGGATAATGTGGAATTTAGGACCATGTTAAAAGGTCCAGTGTTTATCGTGGTGATGTATTTTAACAGACACAGAACTGACTGTACATCTGACTCAGACACAAAGATGCACTCGAAAAGCACTTCCTACTTGCGTATATATAGTTTTATCCATGTAGTGCAACCCCCTACACTGGGTCTGAATTAAAGTATGCACCTTAATCCACACGTATATGCTTCAGCATATACAAACTGGTCGACCTTTATGAGGACATGAGAGTCTTGGAGTAATGATTACGGTGTCACCACTGTCCAATGCTGAAAGGTGATGTGATGGATGGGGTCTGTAAAGTAGTCACTTACAGTAGCAGACAACTGTGTCTTATTCATGATTGACAGTAAGAAACAGGTGAAGAGACATCCAATACACACGTGATGCATGACAGGATAGGATTCAGTCGTCATTTTGCTGTGTTTAACCATCGATATCCCAGCTGAAGAGGTGGTGTTTTACCAACATATCCTGCACTCCCTCTTTAAGGGGTCTCTGCTCCTTCTCCTGGAAAAGAGATGAAATATGGACAGCTTTTACCCAAAAGACAAAATCAACACCCAACACTAATCAGAAGTTTTAAAATATGCATTTTGTCTTTGATAGCTGATGCAAAAAAACTGACATCACTGACTGAAGTCTGGCCAGAGGTGATTTACAGTTTTACTATACAGAGAGCCACAGGTTTTTGCCATACCACTGCATCTACTGAAGAGCTGATACATGGTGATTAACAATTGTTACCAGAGAGACTCATAGGCATTGGAAAGTATTGATTGGGCAATAGCAACTTGAAGCAAAGTGATGCTATGACAACCATAGTTCTATTGAAAATGTTACCTTGGTGAGTTGATTTGTGTGATAAGGTTACTCTATATACTATCTATATACTAGTATGAAATCAGCCGATAAGTAAACTAGGAACTATACTAACTGACTAAAGCATCTACAGTCTCATAGATGACGTGTTACCTAGAGGTCCCAACTAAAGAGGTGATGCTTAACCAGCACATCCATAGTTTCTGCTTTCAGAATGGCGGATTTCTGAAACAGCATAAAGTCATAAAGTTTTTCACCCCCTGAATACTTAATATGCTCTCTTTGAATAGTTAGACTTGCTTACTACTGCTCTGTATGCGGATGCTAGAATAATCTCCTTGGCTCACCTCTTTCTTGTCAGGTAGTTCACAATCTTGGGAGAGGCTGAAGGCAAACTTTGACAAGACCCTGAAGAGACAACAAAAGTAGAATGGTTATTATTGTTTTATTAGTTACACAACTTCCCTTTTTGTTTCATGTTTGTGCTAAAAACCCCCCCCCAAAAAAACGTAATATTGCCAGCAAACAGGAATTCAGTACTGAGTGTGTAAGCAGCTTATTGTATTTAACCATTACCAGTAACCAGTAAAGTGTTTCTTACCTGAGCTCACACTTGATCTGCACCCATCCAGGACTGCGGAGGAATGACCAAGGGTGATACCATTTTTCTACAGCAGCCATGCTGGAGCACAACACTTCCAACCACAGATGCAGCACCTGCTCACTGGTGGGTTAGAAATATATTAAGATACTATGCTCAGAGTGACTGTGTTGATATCAATTATGTATCTGTATCAGTCTTGGAAACTCACTTGAGGCCGACGCAGACAAGAGACCTGAACTTGATATCCATCTGAGCGTGTGCTGAGTCGTGGCTCATGTTGACTGACTGCACCGCCTGGATAGAGCAGACAGAGGGCGCTCATGCACTTCCAATAACATTCATTCCATTTACAGACTGCTGAATTTAGGCAAGGCCTCACTGGGCCTTCCCACTACTTAATAAAAACAGACTTACAGTTCTTTTTTTTTTTTTATACATTTCTATTAAATGCTCACTTACTCTGTATAACAGCTCCTCTGGTGTTAGTACTTTCCCGTCTTCATCTAACCTGGTAGATACCAGAACAGAATGAATTGTTACCTTATCATTCTGGCATACATATTCAAAGTAATTGTAATTATAACCCACAACACCCATGTTGATAACGGTTATACCTGTAGGTTTTACAGAGCACCAGTCTGGAGTAGACAGAGTTGAAGTCCCTCTCTACCTCTCTACTGGCCGCCTGAAAGAAAACCAAAAGGACAAAGAACGATTAAATTCCATGGTGAATTTGTGTGCAATATGGTGCCATTTGGAATAAAAAAAAAAAAAAAAAAAAAGCTTCCCCACCTCTTCTATGAATAACCAAGGGTGACAAGGCCCTCCTAGGATAGATGGTTTCTTGAGACCGTGCTGAAAGATGGCCTTTAGGGCCGGACAGAGTGTGCCCCTAGCCAAATCTGTCACTGCCTCTGTCACAGAGTCATCACCGGCTAATGAGTACTGGGAAAAGACGCAAAAGCATCAATCACTGGTTAGGACACTATGAATTAATAATCAGGATATTGGAAGGGGAATGTGAAGAAACAAAGATAAAAACTGACAAATATTCTAATGGGCAAATAAGAGTCCATAGAAACACTTATGTCTTATTAAGCTGATTATTAACTGCTTCCATACCTCTTTGCTTCTTTCATCTAGGATCTCCACAAACTTAGCCGGAAACCAACCTGTTACAAAGAGCCACAGATAATGTATGTCAAATGAGCTGTAAGATTATAGAAAAAGCAATTATCCAGAGGGCAATGAAGGTAGATACATAAGAACACACCTCTAAGGCCATTGAGCTCTCCAACCCAGCAGTGTTCATCCTTCTGTGAGATGATCTGAAAAAGAAAGAAGAATCAGAGATAAGGGAGTATGTACAGTGTGTGTACATGGTGCAAACTACAATAAACAGTGTTTTGTTTCTGTGACTCATTACTTACAGTGATAATGTCATTCTTCCTGAAGCCCAGTTCATCGTCATCGTGTCGCTCAAAGTCCAGCAAAGCCTTTGCCCGTCTCCGTCGGTTGCGAGACACCACGAGAAAGTTTTCATGATCTCGCTGATGACTCTCCATGGAGTAGTCAGGAGTCAAGTCCTAGAGAAACAAGATGGGAGAAGTAAGGTCAAAATGGATGGAGGTATCCATACTGAATGCTGCTTTTGGTTGATTTATAGTCCACAGGGGACATATACCACACTGTTCCTGTGCCGCAGTGTGTGAACTCACAGAACTAGAGTGACGTGGGTCCAGACAGTGGAAGTGCTCTGCAGTGCGGGCTATGGCCTCTCGCAGGGCCGCCACCAGCTCTGTCTGTTTAATATTCTTGGATTTCAGGGCCTCTGCCTCATCCTCCCCAAACAGCAGGGAGCTCAGGGTAGACTTCCTGCGGAGGGACTGTCTCCTCACCACCTGAACATATATAAATGCATTTATTATGCATAAATTATTCATTTTTAATAAAAACCTAGGACACATAATTGATACTTCACACCACTTCCAAATTTTACAACGACTGACCTTATTGAGATTGGTGTTGAGTGTTGTGTTGTTTCCATTGTTGAGCTGCGTCTGTTCATTTAGGATGTAGGCTAAGTGCTTGTGTCGGTGAGCTTCCAGTGTTTCCTGGGACAGCGTCCCTGCTAGTCTCATAGCCTCCCCGAGAACTGCAGGCCCATCTCTCAGCTGGCTTGGCAAGTCTGATAGAGTATTAAAAATGGACGCAGAGTTCTCTGATGATATGAGCTCCTCCTCCTGGGGTCAAGGAGTACATTTCACAAGGATTAATCCACAACATAAGCAGGTTTTTTTTTTAAATAGTAGAAGTAGCCAATAAACATTTGGTCTGGGATGGTTTCTAGTTGTAGTAGAGAATAAAGTCTGTTGGCATTAATTGCTGTAACATGACCTTTAAATAAATAAAATAAAAATAAAGCATCATCTGCTATAGAAGAAAATCAATTCAGCACACACCGAGAGACCAAA